TCAATTAATCGCATAAATTTGAAATAAAGCGTCACTCATTGCTGGATTGGTTTTCTACGTTGTTTTCCCTGCAAATTCTTTAGATAAACCAGGCAAGCCGCAGGGACCGGTTGTCTTCAAGGAAATCAGGCAAGATCGCGTCACCGTCGAATGGAAACCGCCAACAGACGACGGTGGAATCGAACTGGAGAAGTACACGATCGAGAAATGCGAACCTGGCAAGACTTGGATGAAAGTAGTCGACATCGACAAGGAAGTGGAGAGCTTCTGCGTGCATAAGCTGCAGCAGAATGCTGAGTACAAGTTCAGGATCATCGCTAGGAACGCTGTCGGAGCGTCGGAGCCTTTGGAGTCTGATACTGTCAGGATGAGAACCTCCTTCGGTATGACAAGTTTTTACACATTTTTAGACGAACGTTATTTTACTCTCTGCAATTTATAAATACTTCATTATGAAATTCGTACTAATAATTTACAACCTGATTTATACCTCGTAATTTAAATACTCTCTACTAATTTTCCTCTCTGCTGCATTATTCGCAAATAGTAGGATACAAATTTGCGAAAAAAAATTGTCACGTATAATGCCTTATTGTATCGATAAAGAACCACCGGGACCACCAAGAGGGCCACTGGAAGTATCGGGAATGACGAAGACGTCGTTCACGATAAAATGGCAGCCTCCGGAGAACGACGGTGGAACACCGATAACAGAGTACATCATCGAGATGAAGGAGGAGTCGAAGAAGAACTGGCAGAAGGTTAACAAGAATCTTCCGTTTTCGAGTATATTTTCGAAGGGAGAATTGAAAATTTGATTTCGTTGTTTCCTTTGTTTATTCGCAGATCGGCAGCACGAAGCACGAAACGACAAACTTCATCGTGTCAGATTTGAAAACAGATGTACCTTACAACTTCAGGATAACAGCAAGGAACAATGTCGGCACTGGACCTCCATACGTAGCTGAAGAACCAATTACACCAGGCAGAAGAATCAGTAAGCAATTGAAACGATTTTTATTGAACATTGCAATATTAATAATCTGAGGTTAATTGTAATCATTTTTTTTTTTAAACATTTGTGATAGTAGAATTACTGTAAGATTAAGAATAGTAGCAACGCTTCAGCGAGGCTTTTATATAATTATTCGCACTCTAATGCTTTTGAGTATCGATCATTTGTCGCTTATTTATTGCTTCCGCTATCGCTTAGAAATAACAAAGCTCACCGAAAGCAGCATGTACGCTCTGCTGGGTATATTCCCGCCAACGAAAATAATTATCAGCAAAAGTAAGTTTCAATCGTGCTTCTATTTCGCTGCTTATCGTGAAATATTATTTTATTCGCTGAATACATCATGCGATATGCAATTTGTAGCACCACCATCGAGTCCGCAACATGTACAAGTAACGAACGTCACCAGCAAGAGCGTGACCCTCAGCTGGTCTCCGCCAGCCAACACAGGAGGCAGCGATCTTACAGGTATATTTTAATTTAAAAAAAAAAAAATGTACATGAAGATAGAGACAAACATCTTTACATCTTCCTGCTTTAATAGGATACGTTATCGAGAAGAGGCCATTGATTGGAAAAGGAGCAAGATGGACGAAAGTCGTCACTTTGGAACCTACTACACTTCAATATTGCATAGAGAACTTGAAAGAGAGCGAATTTATCTTCAGAGTGTTCGCAGAGAACAGCATGGGACTTAGTGTACCCACAAACTCAGAACCAGTTACCTTAATGACACATGCCAGTAAGCTTTCGTGTCTTTTTGTCTTCGTATCAAAATTTTAATTAATTTTCAGTTTTTATATCCAAATTTCAATTTATTTTAATTTTCATATCAAAATTTTAATTAATTTTCAGTTTTTATATCAAAATTTCAATTAATTTTAATTTTCATATCAAAATTTTAATTAATTTTAAAATCCATTTCTTCTCACAGATGTGCCATCACCGCCAACTGCACCATTGGAAATCAGACAGATCGCAGGAAATACAGTTTTAATTTCGTGGGGCAGACCGGAATCAGATGGCGGTGCGCCATTGGAAGGCTACAGAATCGCTATCAGGGACGCAAAGAAGACCATGTGGATGGAAGTAGGACGAGTGACCGCAGATGTGCAGAAATTGAACATCAGAGATTTGCAAGAGGGTCACACGTACTTATTCAGAATCTACGCGAAAAACGAGATCGGTCTCAGCGATCCTTTGGAGTCTGATGAACCGGTGAACATCTTACCAGCTTCCGGTACGTTCACATTTATCCCTTTTTATATTTTGTGGAAGTAACTTATACGCTCCACCGCTAGAGGGACGGACGAACGTTAATCTTTCTCACTAGACCTTTCAATGCTCCTATTACTATATATATAAATCCTAACCTATAAGTTGATGAGATGAAAGGCAATTTTTTTGCTTTTCTTGCCTATACTCTTTTTTATTACGTTTCCTCTTGCACAAGCAACCGCCCATAACTTCTAAGTTTTAAAAAACCAATACTCAATTCTGAAATTTTTAGTTCTGTAACCTGTTAACCTTATAAAGCATAATTTTCAAAGTCCACTATTTCTGATTTAAAAAATTTTTTTAATGTATTTTAAAATTTTTTAACTATAGAAGTTTTCTTAGAAAAAGAACATTGAAAAATCAGATGGATTTTTCATAAACTTTTCGTTGTGCAATCTTGTATTTGTTTTTTTTTCAGAATTATCTGTAGTGGAGCCTATCGCGGAAGCCACCGACAAAGGTGAAACCGCATCGGTGAGCTTCAGCACGAATACGAGTTCTTGGTTACGAGAACACAATATGGACGCCGATATTCATTCGTACGCGAGGGCGAGACTTCTCAGACAAGACGAATACTTCTTCCGCATTTGGCACTATGCTAAGAAACTCTTCAAATAAGCATTTCTACGATTTAATGGCGGGAAAAGCGTGGAACGGATTTATGTTCGTTTTTCTTATCGAGGACCAGAAAGATTTAACGCGTTAGTAAAGCAAAGAAACCAATAGAGACACTAAGAGACAGCTTTAATATTAATTTCGTATATTATCAAGATTTCTTTCTTCTTCTTTTCATTCATTTTTTCTTTTTTTTTAACGAAATTTAAGCGAATAATTATTTCGAGCAATTTAGATAATTTTCTTCTTCCACGAACTTTTTATTATATGATTAAGAAAAACAGTCTCTTGACACTTTCGATGTTTAATTTCTCACGTGAACACCGGCATACGTGAAACGACGAAAGAATTAATGACATTATTGTCGAATCGTTCCTTTCTTAGAAGCACATGCATAGCGACTAGATTTAATCTAAGAATCGATACTGGATGGGTGTAGAATCTAGTCAGTGTTAGAGTAATGTACTTTCTTCTTCTTTTAACGGACCAAGACTTCTTCAAGCATACTTGAAATCGATACAA